AATACAAAATACATGTGGTTGTTGTTGTTGTATTCTTGCCACAACCTTGTATAAATTCGCCTCGTGCAAAAACAAAATGCAAGACTTTGCCATGCTAAACACTGTGGCGAAGCGAGAGAGTTATATGGACAAATATGAGCCACTATGATTCAATTGATTCATGTGAGCCCTACGGCATCAACTGAGTTACTGAGTTACATTTTTTTTTGGACAGGGAGTCTGAGTTACCGATTCACTTATAGGAATCAACTCAATAACTCAACTCTGAGTTGAGTTACCCACCTCTAGTCAGCTGGCTAAGAGCAGGTCTCAAAAATAAAAATATGGAGGAAAAGTTAATTGCTTTCCATTTTATAAAAAAAAACGCGAATATGAAGCGAGGAAATTTGTTCAACAAGAATTTCGTTAGGAAATAAACCAAAATGCTTTAATATCATACAAATCCATTGAAAAAAAATATATTTTTTTAAAAAACATTAAAATCTAAAGATTATTAAAAAGAAAATAAAACTAATAAAAAATACTAAATAGAAAAAAATAAAAAATCCTCTACGCCCGAGGAGTACTCGAACCGGGACCCCCCCGACCGGCAGCCTAATGCTTTGACCCCTCAGCCATTGCGACTCTTCGGGTAGCGCGGCAAAAGGAATAAATAAACGCTATCAGTTGACTGTCTGTGTTTGTTTTCACCACACATTTTTGGTGAACTTTTTGTGGCTCTCTCCTACTGAATAGCCAAATAATCTCAAGTCACAAAAATAGTCACTAATTGCTAATCTCAAATTTAGTGACTTGAGATGAGATTGAATTACTGCATCCCAGGGTAAAAATAATTTACCTTAAATGGAAAATCAGGAATATTAAAAAAAAATACCCTTATTAAATAAGCAAATTGATGTATAGAATTGACAACAACCACGCTGTCGAGTTTAAATAGCGGCAAATCAGCTGCACTTGATAGTAGTTTGTTGAATAAGGAAAATGAATTAGCAACAGAGTTTACGGGATGTACATAGCTCAGAGGTTAACGTTTCTGACTTTGAACATCGATTACGCAGGGTCGATCCCTGTGATCAGATGTGGTGATCTCCGAAATAGCTGCTATAACTTCTACATCGATGTTTCCATGCATCGGAGAAAAGAACGCCGAGGCTAAAATACATCGCCAGAGAAACATCGATATTTCGATGGTTACCGATGTTTTGCATTTTGTTAATTTCTAGTTAAATTTAAAGCAATAAATACTTTAATAATTATGAATGTATTTTCCTGTATTTTATTATCCTTTCTGTATCCTTTTTATTATTAGAATCAAAATGCATACCATCGTAAGGTCGTTCGTTCGTTCGGTCCTGGGCCTGATCTTCTTGTAATTCTAAGGTTAGAAGTTATAGCTGCTATTTGGGAGAATTTTTTTCGGTATGCAGTTTTGCAGCCCATTAAATTCTAGTAAAAAAATGCAAATTTGGAGTTGGTCAAAAATCGCGTCGATTTTTGGGATTTTTTTTGTTGAAGGTGTTTTGCATTTTTCCATATAAAGTAAAAAAAATTGCATGGAAGAGACTGCGTGAACAATTGCCAAAAATATATATATATACATATTATAATAAAATTGATTGGGCTACAAATCTGCATACTCAAAAGAATTCTAAAAAATTTGCTTAAAAAGTTGAAAATTTCATGAAAATTTCCTGAGTTTTCGCGAGTTTTGCACAAAGTTTAGAAATTACATTTTTATGCTTTTTGTTGTAGAATGAACCATATTTTTATACGAAATATTAGAATGAAAATGGTTGCATTTATTGTGAAAAATTTGCTGTGCCAATACTTTGTTCCGCCAGTGTACATATTTTACAAAAGTTTTTTATGCAATACGTTAATTCTTTTATTTAAAGGCCTGATTTTTTTTTGTTTAATCTTAAAGATTGGTATGAATGGTTAAGCAATACTGTAAACAATATAATGTGTAGTTTTAATTTTTCTGCTAACTTGAGTAGCTAAAAACCCCGCAAACTCGAGAAATCGCGTTTTAATGATGAACAAATTTTGGCAGTTTGGAAACTGATTTGGTAGGCGTTTTGGTACCTAAAAATATTTTTAAGTGGCAACACAGCAGTAGACAGTGCCAATATTGTCGAGTCGTACAATTCAGTCTAATTTACAACTTGCGCAATGAGGCTGCTTTATCGATTTTCACTTTTTATTGATAAATCGAACATTATTCGAAAATAAAACTAAGTCTATGCTTTTCCAATTTTTTTTAGTGAAGATATATATATGTAGGCCATTTTTAACAAAATACAGATTCGAATGAAGTTTCGTGTTCAAGGCGAAATTATTATAAAGTTTGTTCCACGCTTTCCGAGCAGTTTCGGCAATTAGAGTGTAAAAATAAATTACTCTCTGACAAGTGTCAAAAATGTGTCAACACGTGCCAAAAGCTCCCAGAGCGTGAGGAACGCAAAAACCACATTTCGTGCCCAGAATCAACAAATCAGCTCTAAACAATGATTTTATGTGTATTTATCTTATATGGTTAATAAAATTAGCAAATACCTACATTTCTGAAACTTTTGTGCTATTTTCCATTTTTGTATTTTACAAAATTTTATTTCGGATGTAAATTAGCAGCTGTTATTACAAATTGACTTCTTGCACATTTCTGCCCGGAAAAAAAGGCCGGGCTGTTTCGGGCACGAAGAAGAAGACATTTACAATCCAAAAGTGGAAGGTATTCGCTCTCTATTATCCATTTTTCTAACGTGAGAAACGCTTTCTGGGCTGATTTGTGCACACGCGAGATCCCGCGGGCTCGTGTGGAACAAACCTATAAGGTGGCGTGGCTTCATCAACGTTTGATTGTCAAACTTTTTTATTTCGCCAGTGAGTGAAGAATAGCTGAAATCTGACAATGGGCCACTAAAAGCAAAAACAAAAATTGTTGTATTTGTAGAATCGATACCACCTTTTATATATACGCCTTGGGCGTGTTCATATACATAGTATACTCGTTTTCTTTTTGTACATTTAAATAAACCCAAATGCACATATGTACATATAAAAGTTCTATATTCAATACCTTCTGCCCCTTAACTTATTATAAAGAATGTTCCATAATTTATACAAGATTTAGGCCCCTATTATGAGTTGCATTCGATTTTACAAATCGAGCAAACTAAATAGTGTGCTTATACATATTTATGTAAATTTGTTCTAATTAAAATGAAGTAAAAAAGAAAGCAAGTTTATAAAAACGTGGTAAAATGAGTACAACGAGTCCTGGTTCAACGATTCGTCAGAGGATGAGAGCTTAGTAAACTGGCCAGAAGTAGCAAATGTTTAAGAGAGTTTAAGTTTATTAGTCTTTCGAATATATTTTTATATAAAATATATTTAAGAAATTTGTCTACAGATTCATTAAAAAGTTCCGACCATCTAAAGAGGCGTTTGTGAGCCAAATCTATTTAAAATATTTTAAAACTATCAACAGCGCTACGATTTTGTTCTCAGAGATCGTGCCAACAGAGTATTGGGATTTTCTTTCACAAGTAAATCCAGCCTTTCGAGCTTGTGTTTAGTATTCACGATGTTAGAACTGCATGAAATTAACAAAAATTGTTTAAAATTAGTGTCTAGCCGCCAAAATTTAAGAAAACATATACAAAATCATACATTTTTCACAATT